ATAATGCATATATGTAAAAGTGTAAACTTGCTAGAAGTTGGACTCATTGTCAAACCCGATCAAATGTATGACCTTGGGCCTATGACGACCGCCTTTTATAACCAGAGAAGTAGTGAATAGGTCTTTATTTCGATCTTCGCGCAGTCACAGTGGAGCGTGGGATTATCTGTTCAGACAAACAAAGGCTCTCAACATTCAAGATAATAGGGAATATAACGCTTATGAAAAATAAGGAAGTGAATGAATACTTGAACAATACTGTTTTGGCATAAGCTTGGTTGTTTGGGGTCAACTCTTAACCAACCAACCTGAGCTGTTACAACCGTTCCTATTCGGATGACAAGCTGACTTTTCAGGTGAAATCAGTTAGTCAATTACCGAAGAACAAGAAACACTGGACAGTTTATCTTATTAATTATGTTCATCCAAGAAATCTGAACCCTCATACTGTGAATGTCAAGAGATACATACTATGCACTATCCACGAAAGATCTTTCCGGAGTTCTAGTGAGAAACCTAGAATACTGTAATTCCACATGGTTAAAAGTGAGGAAAATATCACATGTGATAAATGTGAGTGAAACGTACTTCAGATAGACGGTTCCAGTTCTAATTTTGTGTCCACTTTATCTATAACGATGCCTCAAATAATTTCTAAATCCAGAAAGCTGGAGAAGGTGGAAAAGAGAATTGTGAACAATCGAGACGATCCGACAGAGCTGTGCATAGGCTCAATATACATGATGGACACATAGACAAAAGCAACAAGTGTCGACTGTGGTGTACAGTTATAAAAGTTAATGTGTTATTAGGTGTTTCATGTTCTGTTGTTATCTGTAATAACAGCGAAACACAATTCGATCCTGACCACAGCAAATTTGAATTTGCTAGTGAATAGCATTTAGGTTTTATTGTAACGTGAAGTGCATGAGCATTCAGCTAGTCAGTATGGGTTCTTAAATGATTTATCAGAAAGCAAACTAGAATTATCCAATCAAGTGAAATGTTCTAGTGATGATGAATTATGCTAACGCATTCACTGTCGATGAGAACTTTTATCAGGCCTATGTTGTTCCACTATATCATACACATTTATGAACATCTTGTTGAACTGACATAATACTCAACCACTATATGACCATGAAACTGGTCGTCTATGTTCTAGTGAATATATCTATCTAAACGCAATAATCTCTCTGAAGTATTCCCTAACGCATCAAATTATATACAAAAACAGGCAATCATTCTTGCATCAATACGCGACAATAAGATCTACGAATCTATTCACACATCTCGGGATCTGAGTTTATTGTAAGCTGGGTCTACTTTAGTGAGAGTGTTGTGAAATTATGCTAACGCGTTCACGATCGCTATGATCTTGTATCAGGCTTATATTATTCCACTATATCATATACATTTATGAACATGTTGTTGAACTGGCATAATACTCATTAACTATATGACCCTGAAACTGGTAGTTTTTGTTCCATTGAATATATATTATTAATCCGTGCAGTACATAAGCGGGATCAGCATTGGCGACCCTGTGGTGATTATCGGTCACCGAATAACTCAACGTTACCTGATCGTTACCCCATTCCCCGTTTGCACGACTTTCCGCCTACGCTACACGGTAAAAAATTTTTTTCTTAAATCAATCTTGTTCGAGCGTGCCGTCAGATGCCAGTATCATCCGAGGATACACAAAAAACTGCCATTATCATTCGATTTGGTTTGTTTGAGTTCCTGGGAACGCAATCTGAATTAAATAACGCTGCACAGACATTTCAATGATTTATTGATGAGGCCACTAACGGCCTAGATTTCGTTCTCGTGTATCTCGACGATGTAATAATGCCATCAAAAAACTTTCAGGACCAGGTTCGTTGAATGAATCCCGATGTTTCTTGGCGATGATTAATTTTTATCGTCGGTTTATTCTACACTGCTCAGCCATCTCACGACCTTTAACAGGGGTGTCAAAAGGCAAAGTCAAAACGTTCCTATCATCTTGCGAAGCGAAAGACGCTTCTTCTGTAGCTAGAACAGCAAATACGTCTGCTACCATGCTAACGTACTTATGTACTGAACCACAATCTACACTTATTATGTGTTCAGAAGCGCCCCAAGCAGCAGTAGGTAAAGTACAACAGTGAGTAAATGATAAAATATATCCACTTGGTTTCATCTCAAATAAACTACGACCAACTCAAACGCGATACAGCACTTCTGGTAGAGAATTAATGGCTATTTACTTAGCAGTTAAATATTTTAAACACTTACTGCAATGTAGAGATATTCACTAATCATAAACGTTCGACTGACGCCTTGATGCTAAACGCGATCTTTATTCGCCAAGAAAAATTCAACAACTAAATTATATTTCCCAATTCTCGATCAATATACAGTTTATAATAGCCGAGTCAAACGTTGTGGCAAATACTATATCACGTCTCGACGTCGATGCTATTTGATAAATCAAAGTAATCAATTTCTTAGACATTGCACGTTTACTGTCGGATGATTCTGATTATGCTGCTTGTAAACACTTTTTGAATCCATCAAATCACTACGACAGCATACCGCCCAGCAGCACATTAACTGGTGAAACGAGCCAACAGACAACTAAAACGCCCACTGATGGTACAACCTGATGCAACCGATAAAGTGAATTCCTACCTCTGATCTTATTGAGCTCTACAATTAAAGAGGATCTCCAATGCATACCTGCACAGCTCCTTTACGGAACTATTTTAACCTTGCCTGGTCAAATAGTAATGTGTAATGGCACATCTCTATGTACGGACATCACTTCCTCTTGCGAAAGACTAATGAACCATATGAATGACATTAGGCCTGTAACGCCTCGACCAGTTTTCTTAAAAGAGCAAACTAGAAAGCATCTAGATACATGTAAATTTTTATTTATTCGTGTTGACTCTGTAAAACGTCCTTTACAACACCCTTGTGATTGACCTTATGAAGTAGTGGAGAGGCAAGCAAACTATTTCACAATCAAGAAGAATTAATAAAGAAGACAGTTTCAATTGACAGGATGAAACTTGCTTTCGTAGAGTCTGAAACACTATGGATGATACTAAAGTTACAGCTCCCACAAATTTAGTTCCTAATTCCATCTATATACTAACAGAGTTGCTAATAACATTTAATTGCAAACAGCTTTTAGTAATAAATCATTTCGCATGTACTATTACTAGTGATGAATTCATTATATTATCCAAACATGTATTTGCGATCCATATGAAGTTCAATATTAAGTGTTTAACGATATTCAACTTTGTTATACTCGTTTATTTTATCACATACATACTTATCACTTATAGATCACCCTGACAGAAATGACAAGACATCAACTTGTTCGGACCTGTTTTTGATTGATCCAATATTATTATTGCATTGTTCCGTTGTACTATTTAAGCTTGGATTAATTTTAAATTGGTTATTTATTCTCTGAAGAAGTGACCTACACTAAGTCACGAGACGTCGGAAAATCCAATTTTCTACTCATTGGGATATTACAAATATATTATTTTTATTTATCACTGATTGTTCACATGATATAAACATGTCTTAATATTTTTCGGCAAACCATCAATTTAATTATGGTTATTAATAATATTATAACATTATTACTATTATACACTAGTTTGCTGTGTGTCGTGCAATAATTTGTTTCCCTCCAATGCATTTAGAGTTTACTTTGGGCATGCCTACACTGATGTATGCCATAGAGGGGCGAGTTATATTGTGACATGTATATCCATTGATCTTTGTAACGACAAAATAGAACTTATATTGTTTCAATAATTTGTCACGATTTATATAAAACCACACTTATACTGAATATCTTTTGTTTCTCTGTATCAATTGTGAAGAACCGGATATATTTGCTTGATTATATGCATACGGTACCGCGATTGCTAGAGTATAAACGCTATATCCGCCGTCTGTTCTTCTGTTTTATTGACCATAGCTTCTGATTGAACATTATCATAGTGTTATAACATCCTTTGGGGCGCTCTCATACTATGTTGCAGTGTTGGCGCGGATCGTTAATAAATAATACGCCGTTGATGCAGTCACGTGTAGAGGAATTTTTGTTAATGAAGTGAGCTCATTTGTGGTTTTAATTGATAAGTCTTGTCGATTGAACTCTATATTCGTTTCCTAAGCTATTCTGGTAACCTGCAAGCTAAAACTACACAGCGACCTGAACACCAGAGAGAAGACGCAAAGTATGAGAGGAATACTTTACTCTAAGTTTCCTTTTTGTACAGACAATCATGGGTATTTATGGATGTTAGCGTTTGTTAAGTCAACATCATATTTCGGCCAATCCGTTAACGACATATTATGCTACTGACAAATGGTAACACGCCACGTTGGAATTTTAAAATGCTCCATCGTGCTCTGATTGGCTAGAACTCTTTGGCTAGTTTTGGGCCTCTGGAGGCTTTGCTGAAGTTATCTCAGAGAGCAGTCTACAAGTAACGTTCATCTCATGACAACTACTATCACTTTGGTGTTGAATACAACATTTATATTGTATCTGTAATTTTTAAAGATTAGCTTTACTCATAGATAGAAATTTAGTCATATAATTCTAACCATACTTTGCTAAATTTTTAGAAACTTTGAGTATTGTTACATCGAGAATAGGATATATTTCCGGGATCCAACATAGATTATCAAAGGTTAGTTAGATACGTTGTACTTAATGTAAAATCTGAAAGTGATTTTAATTGTGCTGTTACATTAACGGATAAACCAACAATCGTTTGAAATGATAGCTGGTCACTCATACAGCATGTATACTACATGTTCTTCAGTGAAATGTGATTACCAGTAAACAAACTAATAGAACGACAAGTGATGCGGAGAATTATAACTTAATCTAATGAGTTTAACAAAAAAATCAAGCACAGTCGATGATGAGATAATCAAGAGCAAACTTTTCCGTTGTATACAATAAACGATTTCTACATTCGTGTTGTAGTTATTCCGTCTTCATTAATTGCTTCCTGAGATTGCGATGATTGCACTGGCATACATAGGCTAAAATATTTGACAAAAGAGAAGAAATCAAGTTATGTTACTAGCAATCGAGTAATAAATTGTTTTGTAAACAGAGTAGATTTCGAATTATCCCATACATTTAAATACAACAGAGGCTTTGATAGTACATCTTTTCAACCTCAGTCTTAGTGTGCAGAGGTGCTCTGCCACTCATTCATATTTCCATAGTGTCCACATCCATTCTCGACTGCTACGTTCGAAAAAAGTCTATACGTTTCTCAAATGCATCAGGCATACATTTTTCAAATCTCTCTCCTGTGTTACTTGTAATCTTACCAGTTCCCGACGATTACGTTATTTTAAAAGTGTTTGCACATCTACGGATGTCTTTATTATTAGTGTAAGAACTATCTATCATTTCGCAAATTATTGTGTGATAAATGGCTGCGAATAGAGTGATGCAGTCTGAGTAAGTGACATTATGACATGGTCAGTACTCATTGTTCAATCATTTTCAAACATTCATTACTAGTTCTGGTTGATGAAACGATGATTTCCGATTAGTCGTACTTGTTAATTTCTCATTATAATGATATTCAGGTAGCCGCATTAAAGTATTTCTCTACTTAATTCCATTTTATTTCGGATCATTTCCTGTGTCACAAGTAGTTCATTATGGGTCATGGAGGGATACCTCTCATGACAATCAGTAGAATTATCAGTTATCTCCTTGAAGTGTATATACAAATAGGTAGAGAGACAGATAGATAGTTAGAAAAATAGAATGCGCTATCATGTTCATTTAACTAATTCACATTGTCAGAATAGTTTCTATTTCGTTCTTTGATATGACTAATTTATCGTATATGCGGTATAAATGCATTTATCACTCATTTCCATAGATTATCTTTCTCATATTTAAGAATTTACCTAGAACCTTCACGATATCCAGATCGAGTTGCTATTTCTACTTCACTTGGTGATGCTAACGAAATTGTTGTAGTACAATGTCTGTTCTTCATTTTCAATATACCATTAGAGTCGAGTGAAATATCCATTCCGTCCACGTTAACATACATTTGTCCTAAAGTTTAAAAAGCAGTAAATTATGATTAGTGAGGCTAAAACGTAAGACATGTTGATTGAATTGTGAATCATATCACAAATCACCTCGAACTGTGTATTACTATTACTAGTACTACTACTACTACTACTACTACTCCTTCTACTACTACTACTACTACTACTACTACTACTACTACTACTACTACTACTACTACTACTACTACTACTACTACTACTACTACTACTTCTACTACTCCAACTACTACTACTACTACAACTACAATTACTACTGTAGTGGATAGAGATTTGATGAGGACAGCCAGTTTATTGTTTTATTTAGAATCACACAATGCCTGTGTAAAATACGAAAATCTTACATTTAATACATCACTTGCATTCTTCCTATCCTGCTACTATTTCGACTACTCTTCGTTTTCCTTCCTCTTCTCTTCACCCCATTTTTTAATTGGTGGGTATTCTACTTCCAATTCCTACTATCTACTAATTATGTGTGCCGTGCATACCACACTACCACAGTACTACTACTACTACTACTACTACCAATACTACTACTACTACTACTACTACTATTACTACTACTACTACTGACAATAGCAATAATAATGGTAAGTATATTAATAATGAATAAATATTTCACATACCTGTCTCGTCAAACTCAATTGGTACTGCAAATGTGGCTGATTCAATTCTCATTATGCTTAATGTGAATAAAATCACTACGGCAATATACAATTTGAACATGTGGGATATCATTCCTACAGTTGATATTAATAGATGAAAGCATCACACAATGACTGACATTTTCACGAAAATAAGCAAATATTAAACCATCTCTGTACAAAACTAACCTAATTTAATACACCATTTGATTATGGTAATTTGATGTTCTTAATGCTGAATATCGGTACAAAACTGTTCTCTATTTCCTAGCACCAAATTCATCTATATTCACTCATGGTCACTTTGATATTTTCTCATTTATACATATGTATAGAGTGATTATAATCAGTGGACTGTGTATGATCTACACTAGAATTATGTACTGAGTGGGGACTCCCATATTAGGACGAAACAGCTATCAAGTGCTTCCACGTTTTCCATGGCGGTCTGGATTTGATTGACTCATGAATTCAACTATTAGATGTTAATTTCTTTGGGAAAACCTACAGTCACTGTCAAGTTTACGTTTCATGATTAACTTGGATGAAACTTATGTGGAGTTGTCAGTGAACCTTGAAATCTTACATTATTTTATTTTGCTTCTCATTAGTAGTGCAATAGTACACCTGTTCGACAATCGTCCATTCGTACAATTTACCCATTATGTGCAGTTTCGTAATCGATTTCATTGTGATCGTTGATCCATAAATTCCCTTGATCACTTTAATATTTTCACATGTCCATAGAGTAAAATCTGATAAAGATCGTATTGACAACATTAGTGTTCGCTCATATGTGTTGTCTTAGTCTTGAATTCAACAAACGAATTCTGGTTTCGTAAGTGGGTTATAATACGTATTACATACATAATACAGACATAGAGTATACTGATGAACCAATACACTTGTGTACCTGAAATAAACTCATTGTAATGCATCTCCTAAACTTCTATGAATTAACAAGTCAGAAGATAGGTAAACAAGCTCAGTCACAGATTACATTTCATTATGAAAATATTACAGAATAACTTACTGCAATTGTCCTATTATTGTTAGAGATATGACTTGGGGGAGTGAACAATTTATACAGATGAATTGAACGATAAGCCAATGACAAACCGTTGTATGAGATTAAATGTATGTTATGAACCATAATGTACCGACATAAACTACAGTTTTATACGAAAAATCCACCTTACGACTCAATGTAACAAAATCTATAATGTAAATAATAAGGGTTATTTGTTGATCAATGATTAGATAATCCGATTAAATGATTAAATGGAATTTACATGACATTTTGGAATGTTTTTTTTTACAAATCCGCTGTTCATATGTATTCATAAATATGTCTGAGTGAACTCGAATTACATCGTTTTCTTGTTTACGTAGTAGCTGTATGGCAGTGATGCTTGCACTGATTGATGTTCGATCAAAGACATATGTACTGATCGAATGGTAATTGATAGATCATCAAAGTAATCAGTGTTATTCCAGACCGAACGGCACGTAACATTTGGGTAGGCACTATCAAATTACCAAATGTTTCGTTGATCAAGGGATTGACCTTACAGTTGTACTTCAGAGCAACGTAATGTAACATTAACAGTCTAAGTTAAACAATGATATCAGTGGTTTATCACGTTTCTCAACTGTCTTTTCCTTTTTCATTATCTATAGTAAAGAATGCTTTTTCAGGTGGCTTATCACTGATAGGCGTTTTATTTAGATACGTGTTTGTCAATGAATAAAAATTGGTATCAGTATTGGTTTTGAGAAATTTTTGGGAACAATTTTATATTGTTTATAGTGATATTGATGATGCTGTTTATTCAGAAGAATGTCTGGCTATCTAAATTATCATATGGAGTCATATTAGAAGGATTTATGGATAATTCAACGAGTGATGTTACCTCACTCAAGACGTACAATCATATTAATTGTTAAGCACCAAATGAAATAGTCCATTTAAACATGTGAGGGTGATTATATTGTACTGACCTACTTTTATCAACGGAAAGCGATTTGTGTAATGGAAACAACCAGTATTATAACCAATTGTACCAGGGATTGTTTTGCCGTACTTGTTTGTTTAACTGTACCAAAACACATACATTCTTTTTTGATTGTGACCTTGCGAGAATTCGGTTACGCTCACTAACCACACTTGTACCCTGGCACGATCTCGGTATCCTTTCGATAACACCAGATTGCCAAAAAATACATCTCGAGTGCAGCCATCAACTGCCTTCTGATATTTGGCCTACGGGGGGTCTTATCGGTTAACTGGCACGTAGTCTTCCTGTAGTGGTGATCATAATCAACCGCGACTCCACGCCACGCTATAATATCAAATCACATGTTGAAAAATGTTGCCTAACTGTCGAGAATTCGAAGAAAGATAATGAAAAGATATAATTCACCTTTGAAAAGATACAAAATATAATGTTCGGAGTTGCGTTTGGGAAGCGCTTGCTCTGCGCGGCGAATGGAACCTGTTGTAAAAAAAGCAATTGAACGCGCAAATGCTCAATGATTTAGCTCAATGCGGCAGCTTATCCTTGACACACTCACGGGTGATGGAGAGATTAGAATAAACGATGCAATTCTGGACAGCATAGAGGGTTTGTCCAAAGACGTCGCTTAACTGCTTTTCAAGTGTTCTGCGATAGCATCTCCCTGGGACTCAATTCGCATGGAATGTCTTATTTCAAGCACACATAGGTTATTCTAGTTTCACAAGTTACATTTTGTCCTTGACACTTATTCGCTTATTGACACTGACAGTTTTTATATGATTGTACGTGCATGCATTGCTACCTTATTCATCACGTGTCTGTTACTTATTTTTGTCTAAATATAAACATTCAACAACGCTTGGTTAGATGGAGTTGGCTCACTCGCCTTCTCGCCTGCGCTTCGGTTCAGTCTGCTTCGCTTTCTTTGCTGCGTTTTACTGATTGTCTGTTCAGATCAATGACTGTATGAAATACATATGTTCAGAACCCATTCTCGTATTTAACCCATTTTAATTCCGTTATTCATTAACAGGATTTCGGTCGATCATCATATACAAGAGTAGCCATGATGTTTAATTCTATTACAAACAGCAAACAATCTAACTGGAGTCAGTTACCTAACCACGAAAATGTTTACACAATTAAATCATACCTAACAGAATATATGTTGGAAGCTTAACTCCCATTAGCATTGCATATTTTGGATAAGGGTCATGTGAAAGAATGCCACTATTGAGTTAAAAATTCGAATGCAAAATGGGACAAGAAATCTATAGATTCATGGTTTTCGGGTAGTCCGGTATTCGATGTTAAGGCTCCGAAGGCCTGAACTGACACCAACTATAGTACCTTTACATGTGACTGAGCGAGAAAACGGATTCTGATGAGTTAAAAACACAATTACTGCCTTTTTTCGCAAACTCCATTTCAGGAACACACACGATCATGTTCTATATGTCCACTTCCCACATTCGATCCCCTAAATGATTGGAAGAACGCTACAGTTAGAGAAACAGACCGTGTATAAATATCGACGTGTCAGTCTAACCAACATGTTAGTTCCGTTATTTGGAAAAATAATTAAGGCTTATTTAGTGAATCATGTATAAATGTTGAGGTGATCCAGAAATCGCTTGCGAAAGACAAGCAAGCATCAAGAAATACTATGAAGTGTTTCGTCCAATCAGCGTTCATTTGGAGTCTTGGCCAGAAATATCAAGGCAGCGAAACGTCACATGTGGAAGCTCTGATTGGTTGGCTACTACAGTGTTACTATGTTTAGTAGCATTCCAGAATATTCCGGCGACCCAAGGACATTTAGATATATTATAAAAACCCTATATTTTCTGTAATAAAATGAACCTTGGTATAAAGTATTTTCTCTCATAGTTGCGTCTTCTCTCTGGTGTTCAAGTCGCTGTGTATTTCTAGTGTGCGGGTCATCGGAATAGCTTAGGAAATAAATATAGCGTTTAATCGATAAGACTTATCGATAATCTATTAACTTCTGAAAATCACGGATTTCGGACAAAACATTCATGTTCAACCTAATTACTGACTACGCGAAAGGATTGGACAACAGCTCAAGCTAATTGTCTATGTCTTGACGTGGTATTCATATATTAAAGTGAAGCACTTCGTAAGTTTTCTCATCTAAAACTTATATGCGGGCTCTCAACATTTGAAATAACAGCTGTCATGCAAGCATGGATAAGAGACTTCCTCTGCAGCCAAAGACAGATTGTGAGTGTAAACTGGACATTGTCTGAACGTAAGACGGTCGGAATTGGAGTATCCCAAGTAATAAACTTATGTTCTCTATTTTTTCTTCTCCTCGTCAATGAAATAGCGCGATTGCTCAAGTCATCCACATAATTGTTTGCAGATGACGTTGTAATCTGTAGGACATTAGGTAGTTGGGATGATAAGCTCAATATCCAAGCTGACATAAACGAATTAGTTAGATAGTCGCCATCTTGAGGAGTAAAAATTAATTCCAGACATGTTAATAATTACCAGTATACTATAAACATTTCACTGCATCCATGGCTGCACAAATACGAAGATTTGTGGCTAATAATAATTCGTGACTTAAAACAATTACACATCGTATCGCAGCAGCCACCAAACGTTCTCGAACGTTATGATCACTGTTCTAAGCAGCCAAATGATTTGACGAGGAAATGTTTCGAATTTTATATTCCATACATGCGAAACCACACCCAGCTTAGTGTACGTAAGCATCCGGTCAATGTCTTGTTAGAGATAATGGCACATTTGGGAGTGTTCAGCGTATGGAAACAATGTTAACGAGGGGTATTTTTCCAAACACCTAACGTTGAGCTCTTGAGAAGAATGAAACTTTTCCCCCATCTTACCATGGAACGTGAAATTAGCTTATGTTGACATTTCGAATCTTTAACAGCGATTTGGGCGTTGATATGTATTAACTATCAGCACTCCCTTGAAATAGTAATCTTCGAGGTCATAGCAAGGAGGTTCAAAAATCCGATCATGTAAAGTAAAAATAAAGTTTCGTTTTTCTCACCGAATGGTCAGTGACTGAAACACCTTACTCAAAAACGTTCTGTGTCTCCCATCAGTAAACATTTTCAAGAAGACTCTAGAACTTCTAAGGACTTCGAGCTGCAAGGTTAAACACAGCTTCACTGACGTAATATCTTTACTACTGAAGACTGAATATCAATAAACGATTGAACTTGTGAATCGATATAATCTATACGACCATTGCAAATCTGGAAGCACTGGAAGGTTGTTTCTTCTTAGTATGGCATTCATCAGCCTCTGAACCACAGAGGCGTCCTTTATTAAGACGAAAATGTCGTCCAGTGCTTTCAGTTTTTCAACGGTGTTCTAGCTTAGCTTCGTTCATAAGTTCAATTATTAAAATAAAAACAATCGCCATAAATTTACATTATGATGCACTTAAATATAAATAGTATTAAAAATGTCAATAAATATGACATAAACGAATGATTTGCAAACTCCATTCAATTATTTAATCGGATTAACAAATAATTGATCGGTAAAAAACTCCTATTATTGATGTCCCATTAAGTTGCTCTGAAGTACAACTGTAAGGTCAATCCCTTGATCAACGAAACATTTGGTAATTTGATAGTGCCTACCCAAATGTTACGTGCCGTTCGGTCTGGAATAACACTGATTACTTTGATGATCTATCAATTACCATTCGATCAGTACATATGTCTTTGATCGAACATCAATCAGTGCAAGCATCACTGCCATACAGCTACTACGTAAACAAGAAAACGATGTAATTCGAGTTCACTCAGACATATTTATGAATACATATGAACAGCGGATTTGTAAAAAAAAACATTCCAAAATGTCATGTAAATTCCATTTAATCATTTAATCGGATTATCTAATCATTGATCAACAAATAACCCTTATTATTTACATTATAGATTTTGTTACATTGAGTCGTAAGGTGGATTTTTCGTATAAAACTGTAGTTTATGTCGGTACATTATGGTTCATAACATACATTTAATCTCATACAACGGTTTGTCATTGGCTTATCGTTCAATTCATCTGTATAAATTGTTCACTCCCCCAAGTCATATCTCTAACAATAATAGGACAATTGCAGTAAGTTATTCTGTAATATTTTCATAATGAAATGTAATCTGTGACTGAGCTTGTTTACCTATCTTCTGACTTGTTAATTCATAGAAGTTTAGGAGATGCATTACAATGAGTTTATTTCAGGTACACAAGTGTATTGGTTCATCAGTATACTCTATGTCTGTATTATGTATGTAATACGTATTATAACCCACTTACGAAACCAGAATTCGTTTGTTGAATTCAAGACTAAGACAACACATATGAGCGAACACTAATGTTGTCAATACGATCTTTATCAGATTTTACTCTATGGACATGTGAAAATATTAAAGTGATCAAGGGAATTTATGGATCAACGATCACAATGAAATCGATTACGAAACTGCACATAATGGGTAAATTGTACGAATGGACGATTGTCGAACAGGTGTACTATTGCACTACTAATGAGAAGCAAAATAAAATAATGTAAGATTTCAAGGTTCACTGACAACTCCACATAAGTTTCATCCAAGTTAATCATGAAACGTAAACTTGACAGTGACTGTAGGTTTTCCCAAAGAAATTAACATCTAATAGTTGAATTCATGAGTCAATCAAATCCAGACCGCCATGGAAAACGTGGAAGCACTTGATAGCTGTTTCGTCCTAATATGGGAGTCCCCACTCAGTACATAATTCTAGTGTAGATCATACACAGTCCACTGATTATAATCACTCTATACATATGTATAAATGAGAAAATATCAAAGTGACCATGAGTGAATATAGATGAATTTGGTGCTAGGAAATAGAGAACAGTTTTGTACCGATATTCAGCATTAAGAACATCAAATTACCATAATCAAATGGTGTATTAAATTAGGTTAGTTTTGTACAGAGATGGTTTAATATTTGCTTATTTTCGTGAAAATGTCAGTCATTGTGTGATGCTTTCATCTATTAATATCAACTGTAGGAATGATATCCCACATGTTCAAATTGTATATTGCCGTAGTGATTTTATTCACATTAAGCATAATGAGAATTGAATCAGCCACATTTGCAGTACCAATTGAGTTTGACGAGACAGGTATGTGAAATATTTATTCATTATTAATATACTTACCATTATTATTGCTATTGTCAGTAGTAGTAGTAGTAATAGTAGTAGTAGTAGTAGTAGTAGTAGTAGTAGTAGTATTAGTAGTAGTAGTAGTAGTAGTAGTAGTAGTAGTAGTACTGTGGTAGTGTGGTATGCACGGCACACATAATTAGTAGAAGTAGAATACCCACCAATTAAAAAATGGGGTGAAGAGAAGAGGAAGGAAAACGAAGAGTAGTCGAAATAGTAGCAGGATAGGAAGAATGCAAGTGATGTATTAAATGTAAGATTTTCGTATTTTACACAGGCATTGTGTGATTCTAAATAAAACAATAAACTGGCTGTCCTCATCAAATCTCTATCCACTACAGTAGTAATTGTAGTTGTAGTAGTAGTAGTAGTTGGAGTAGTAGAAGTAGTAGTGTTAGCGGGACATAGACTAGATTAAAGCATGCTCAATGCATGATAGTGTTTGGTGCACGCTGATTGGCTGATTCTTATCCAATCAGCACTAGTCGATAGTCGGAGAATACTCTGGAATCTTCTTGTGTAAAAACTATAAATATACCGACGTTTTCCCCTATTGTGCTTCCTATTGGCTTCTGACTTGCTATTTGGAATATAATCTTTTTCCTGTTCAACCGTGTTCTGATTTGGGGACTTGTCGAGTGAATCGGTGTCCGAGAATACTAAGCAATAGGAATAGCTGGGCCATAACCGTAAGAAGAAAAACAGAGCTATAACAAGTAGAATTAGTAGTAGTAGTAGTAGTAGTAGTAGTAGTAGAAGGAGTAGTAGTAGTAGTAGTAATAGTAATAGATCCAACAGCAATGAGAAAACTTTTTTTGTAATTCCGCCGGCTTTCCTGCCAGCAACGGTAAACATATTTCACATGATGACAAAGTGGTTGAATCTATTTCCCCTCGCAACACAACTCTTACCTTAGCTAATCATATGAGTATTCATGGAACTACCAATAGCGATTTATACTCCAACCTACTTCACTATGATGACTCTGAGTTTTTTATTCTTTCGTTCAATGCCCGCTCTCTGTCCAATAAAATTATTCATCTTAAAACTCTTTTATTCCTTGTAAATCCAACCATTGTACTTATTACGGAAACGTGGTGTAATTCATCCATATCCGATCATTTCTTGAATGTAGATAACTACGTTTTCTTTAGAACCGATAGATGTTATGGAATAGGAGGCGGTACAATTATCTATGTACGTTCAGACATTCAAGCGTGCAAATTTGAGGATAAATCCCTTGATGCTATAGAAGACTCTACTTGGGTTACTGTAAACTGTGGATCCCAAAATTACTTACTGGTGGGATGCATATATAGACCACCTCATGCGGATACTAAGTTTGACAGATTACTAACAAACATATTTTCCATTGCTTCGCATCAACCTCATACTTTTAAAATCATCGGAGGTGATTTTAATCTGCCAAAAATTACATGGGGCTTGACTCTGGTGCCAGGTCGATATAACAAGCTAGTTGAAACATTAGAAATTTGTGGATGGGTTCAACAGGTCCGAAAACCAACCAGGGGGAATAATACACTTGATTTAATGTTCACAATCAACATAGACTCTATCTCAGTGCATACCAGTCATGAGTTTTTTATGAGTGACCATAGAGTTGTATTGAGCATTATTCACTCTTTAAACGCCATACAATTGAACTCTTAAGCTTCAACGACGTACCAGAGCAGATATTTTGATCAACAAACATGGAAACGGACTGAAACTCTCATTCGATGTTTACCATGGGAAACTTATTTTACCACAAATAATGTTGACATTGCGCTTTCCAATCTATATCACAACCTGATATATTGTCTTGACTGCACTGCTCCAGTTATTGGCCGTGTGGCTTATAATGCTAATAGGGGCCAAAATACTTTTAAAAGAAAGCTGAGGAAATTAAAATACCGCTACTATGAGCAGAATGATGTGTATGCACTTCAGAGTATACTTAAATTAATCGACAGAAATGCTTCATCTAAACATAAGTATTTCTTGAATATAGAAAATAAAGCTCAACGTAGTAAAAGCCCAGAATTATCAGTACTTCGACTTTTTAAATCCCGTGTAAAGTCAAATTCCCTTGGCACGACTAAATTCTTCATAGTTAACGGAAGCATTGTTAACGACCCGAATACTATATGCGAACAATTCAGCAAGCACTTCTCGCAGTGCTACAAGACTAGAACTGAAAGCTCCATCATTTCATTTTCAATGCTAACATCCAGACATCTGTCGAAAATTTATTTCACACCCTCCAACATCGAGCAGGCTATAACTACCCTGAAAAAGTCTTATGATGGTGGACCTGAAGGGATACCTACATCATTTGTGAAATATGGAAGTAAAGAATTTCCACTGTTTTGTTTGAAACTTTTCAATCTGTCTATGGAATATGGGATCTGTCCATCTGCATGGAAAACATCTTTTATCACCCCTAGATTCAAAACAGGACCACTTAGTGATATTATTAACTATAGGCCAATTAATTTGACATCCGTGCTCTCAAGAACCATGGAAAAAATCATCCACAAACAGCTACTATCATTTTTACTTTCAGCTAGTCTGATCAGCCCATCCCAACACGGGTTCATGACTAAACGCTCATGTTTCACATCGCACCTGGAGTTTTTTGATCAAATTACCCAGAGAAGAGATGTTGGTCAGTCAGTGATAATTCTTTACTTCGATTTTAGTAAAGCTTTCGACAGTGTCTCACACAAACTTCTTCTTTTAAAACTCTCTTCATTTGGCATACAGAATCCCCTTTTATCTTGGCTCAAATCTTTTTTAGAAGAACGTAGCCAAATCGTTCGCTATGGATCTTGCTACTCTAAACCTGTAAATGTAACCAGTGGGGTTATACAAGGAAGTGTGGTTGGTCCATTACTCTTTCTCCTTTTTATCAATCATGTGTGTTCCCTCTTTCAGTATGGTAAGCCTTTCCTTTTTGCTGATGACCTGAAAGTAGTTTATTCATTCTCTTCTCCCACGAAAGTAAGCTATATTTCTGCGATAATCCAGGAGGAAATAAACAAGTTGTACGAATGGACTATTTCGTGGAATATGCCACTTAATGTTGACAAAAGCGGATTTATTCACATTGGTTGCTGTCTTAACTTAAATCTAACTGTACAGACACATACACTCAAACCTCTCAACACTGTTCGTGACCTGGGTTTAAGATAAAGCAATAGTCTGAACTTTTCTGAACACATTATATCTCAAGTATCCAAAGCTAGAAAGCTCATCGGATTGATAATGATAAACTTCAATAATATCGAATCGAGATTGTTACTATACAGAAAATGTGTCTTGCCCATCCTTGAATATGGTATTTTAGTTTACAGTAATTGTAGACATAATGATCTGATTAGAATTGAAGGTGTTCAAAGAAAGTTCACCAAAGCTGTTCTGGGGTATTCCGATAACAAAGACTACTACCAAAGATGTCAACAACTCAACTTGGAACCTCTTTGGATCAGACGTATCAAATTTAATCTTGTCTTTATCTACCGGCTCATTAACGGTATTTCCTACTCATCGGTGTCTACCCCTTCATACCTTGTAATATCGTCCCACAATCTACGCAATAAGGAGAATATTCTAGCGATTCCAAGAACCCACACAAACTTACGTCAGAATTTTTTCCTTATTCGCTACTCAACCATGTGGAACAGACTGCCAGTGAACCTCCGTTGCAGTGAAACTACAACCCGGTTCAAAAGTCTCCTTGACGATTTTCTTTCCGAAAGTGGATTATGCCACCTATTGAATATCAATGTATTCAATAATGATTTATACAAACAAGGTCCGTCATTTATTTAATTGCTTGAAAAGCAAAATAAAATCTTTAAATCTTTTCACGTCTATTTTGTTTTATTTCTCTTTATCTTAATATATGAAGTCTGATTATGTTCGTGTTTTATCATTATTACCGTTATTGATATCATTATTAGTTCCCCGACACATTAGATATTCTTTTTGTATCTTCTTATCCTTCTAAACATATTTAACTCCAAATTGTCCTTTGAAATCAATTTTGACTTTCATAGCATCATTATTAATTATTATTGCACAGATGTTTATACTAATATCCGGTTTCACTCTGTATATTATTACATAAATCTAAATGTATTTATCCGAGTGCTTTAGAGGATTTTTATTTCATTTTTCTAAATTGTTAGTTTCCTTCTGAGGTTGATATTCATTACACAATTATTATTCTTATCATGGATGAACCTTTTTCACTAGGTGTCCACTTCTTTTTTCTCTCTTCTTTCCTTCTAAATGAATATTATTCTTAAGATTCTGAAGTTTGTAATTAAGACAATAACTTGTGTTACACTTACATTAACTTCTCAGATTCGTTTTATCTTCACTATGCATATATGACTACTCATACATATTGATATTTCATTATCCTTTTCACTCAATTGAGACTTTCATCGCATCACTCCAAGCTATGTGACTGCACAACATTTATTCTAGCGTCATATCTTACTACAATAGTAAGTTGTTTTTTCTTAATAATTTTTTGTTACAAATTTAGCGATACACACATAGTCGTTTATTCTTGTTCTGTGTTCATAAACACGCCAATTAAACTGTTTGCGTATATCACGTCTCCTTTATTTCTATTCCCTTATTTTCTCCATTTCCTTCTTTAAACTCAAATCAATATTCTTCTCAGTTGCACAGACCCGATGTATTACTATTAATATTCTACTATTATTGCTCTAATTTTTTTTTTAAATATGGCAAGTATAATGCCGACATTATTGATAATTGTGTATTATTGCATTTTTTGAAGAAACCCGAAATGGTTTCTTCACAACACTTATGTACCCATAAGATGTTTGCGAATAATAATAATAATACACAGTTCGAGGGGATTTGTGATATGATTCACAATTCAATCAACATGTCTTACGTTTTAGCCTCACTAATCATAATTTACTGCTTTTTAAACTTTAGGACAAATGTATGTTAACGTGGACGGAATGGATATTTCACTCGACTCTAATGATATATTGAAAATGAAGAACAGACATTGTACTACAACAATTTCGTTAGCATCACCAAGTGAAGTAGAAATAGCAAATCGAAATGGACATCGTGAAGGTACTTAGTAAGTTCTTAAATATGAGAAAGATAATCTATGGAAATGAGTGATAAATGCATTTATACCGCATATACGATAAATTAGTCATATCAAAGAACGAAATAGAAACTATTCTGACAATGTGAATTAGTTAAATGAACATGATAGCGCATTCTATTTTTCTAACTATCTATCTGTCTCTCTACCTATTTGTATATACACTTCAAGGAGATAACTGATAATTCTACTGATTGTCATGAGAGGTAATCCCTCCATGACCCATAATGAACTACTTGTGACACAGGAAATGATCCGAAATAAAATGGAATTAAGTAGAGAAATACTTTAATGCGGCTACCTGAATATCATTATAATGAGAAATTAACAAGTACGACTAATCGGAAATCATCGTTTCATCAACCAGAACTAGTAATGAATGTTTGAAAATGATTGAACAATGAGTACTGACCATGTCATAATGTCACTTACTCAGACTGCATCACTCTATTCGCAGCCATTTATCACACAATAATTTGCGAAATGATAGATAGTTCTTACACTAATAATAAAGACATCCGTAGATGTGCAAACACTTTTAAAATAACGTAATCGTCGGGAACTGGTAAGATTACAAGTAACACAGGAGAGAGATTTGAAAAATGTATGCCTGATGCATTTGAGAAACGTATAGACTTTTTTCGAACGTAGCAGTCGAGAATGGATGTGGACACTATGGAAATATGAATGAGTGGCAGAGCACCTCTGCACACTAAGACTGAGGTTGAAAAGATGTACTATCAAAGCCTCTGTTGTATTTAAATGTATGAGATAATTCGAAATCTACTCTGTTTACAAAACAATTTATTACTCGATTGCTAGTAACATAACTTGATTTCTTCTCTTTTGTCAAATATTTTAGCCTATGTATGCCAGTGCAATCATCGCAATCTCAGGAAGCAATTAATGAAGACGGAATAACTACAACACGAATTTAGAAATCATTTATTGCATACTGTAAGATCCATTTTGAATGCTTTGTGTGTTGGTGAAAATCCCTCCATGTATATACTTGTACTTTGTTTCTATTGATCCCCTTAGTTGTACATTGTTGTATTTTGATTACATTTGAAATTTTAATTCTTGTATTTTTATTTCAGTTTTTGTTTTACATTCGCATTCACTAATTTTGTGTTTCTTACCGAACTGCACCTGTGTTGTTTTACTTGGCACTTGTTCTTGGCGGTGGCCATATTGATTTGCTCCTCCTTTTGTGTGTTCTTTCCAGACAGGATAGAATAACGTTCATTTGTTGTGACTGTTAATTTTCCGTCATCTTTTATCAACTCCTTTATTTACTGTAATTTAGAATTTATTGATTGAACAATTATTGGTTGAATAGCCGGGTGGTAATATTTATTTAGGTAACGATTTACATTTAAATTTATGATGAGTTATAGAACCGCTATTTACCTGATTACTTGTTTTGATTTCGACGAGAAAGGGCGCGTGTCTAACGTACCTGGAAGGCTATTCATCTATCCAAACCGTAGCTTGAACCTTACAGTTCTAAACAAATATTTTGATTGAATTCGTTTGGCTTTCGTTTCGTTGATTCCAATCATTGTCTCTGGGAACATTTGGTCGTTCACTTGCGATGCCAAACAATCGTCGATAGAAATTAAGTCCAAGGCTCGTTGATGTTAAAAGAGATGAACAAAAGTATGTATCCCCTCGATCGAGACAAGTGCCTTATGATGCTTCTATGTGTCATGGTTCATATTCTAATAGGGACGATTGTAATTATAGTGAATCTAGTTTTGATATAATGGCAGATGGCATAGAAAACCTTAGTTTAGACGTGAAGCAAGCGAAAAGCGTGATGCCTACGGCGCCTTTCGTAAGTCCCGAGTTACCAAAATTTAGTTAAGTTATTTCGACGGTCAACCTAGAAGTTATTGGAAGTTTTTAACGGAGTAGAATCAAGGGTCAAGGATAATGATCAACGTTTGCTCTATTTGATGCACTATTGTAAGGGCAAGGCGAAAACAACTATTGAGGGTTGTGTCATGATGGAAGCATCCTCTGGTTATAAAAGAGCAAGGGAAATTCTAAAACGTTTGTTCGGACAGTCTCATGTAATCGCTCGAGAAACATTAGAAGACTTATTCAATGCTGTGAATTTTGAATATACTGGCTATTAAAATGGAAAACTGTGCTATGGTCTTGGAACAGATGAATTATACCTCTGATCTAAATTCCTTAGTTACTTTAGAAAGTATAGTGAGACTCTTGCCTCAACCTATGCAAGCCCAGTGGGCGGACTGGGTGGATAAATTGACCGAAGATGATAGAGAGCTGACGTTTCACGAACTCACTCAGTTTATCGCATCGCGTGCGAGAGTGGCTTGTAGTAGATTTGGACGGTTAGCAAGTCGTTCAACAAAAGGACATAACGTAAAGACGAACTTTCACGTTCGATCGGAGAGAGGGAATAGTTCGACAACGAAAACTAAATGCAGTATGTGTTCCCAAGTCCATGCTATTTATAAATGTCCACAGTTCTTAGCGCCTACAGTTCAAGACTGATGGCCTCACGCTAAAAGCAAGGGTATCTGTTCCATCTGTCTTAGACATGGACATAGAGTTAGTGAATGTAAGCTGACAAAACGTTGTAACGTTAGTGGTTGTGAAAAGAAACACCATTCTTTGTTGCACAGCGAAAGTGATAAACCTGGTATCTCGAATTGTTGCGGATATACTAAATCACTAATCAGTCAAGTGTGTTGAGGCATGATTACTGTACGGTTGAAATCGCCAAAACTCGAGATTGTGGGTTATGCTCTGTTGGACAACGGTTCTGATGTGACATCGATAAAATCAAACTGTTTCAGGTCTCTCGGGCTGAGCGAAGACCAAGCATCAGTGGTAGTTGAGACTGTGGGCGGTAATAGAACAATGAAGGTCACGAGTGCGCTTTTTGAGGTATATTCTTTAGATCGATCTGAACATGTTACGATTGAAGGAGCTCTGATTGTAGCAAGTATACCAGATCATAAGCAGACAAAGTCGGCAATGAACAACCTAGTTAAGTGGCCGCATATAAGCGATGTGCCAATAGATAGTCTAGACTCTGAAGAAGTTCTACTGTTGATTGGTTGCGACGTACCAGAAGCACATTGGGTGTCAGACCAACGGTTGCGTGGAAGGAAGAACCCGTACGCTGTGAAAACGTTGTTGGGGTGGACGGTTTTCGGACCTGTGTCATATTCGGAACATAGGAAGAAAGTTGTTAATCATACCAGTAAATTACAGACTTTGGAGAACGAAATACGTAAACTTTATGATGTAGAGTTTTCCGATGTTTATTCAAATGATAAATCAGTATCACTAGAAGATAAGGCGGCTATAAGGATTGTGGAAGGGGGCACACGCTTCGAAAATGGTCATTTTGTAGTTACTATACCATGAAAATTGAACACAAATATGAAAGAGGGGAATCGTGAAGTGGCAAACAGTAGACTACAGAGTTTGAAGCGTAGATTGTTGAAAGATGACATTCTGTATATCAAGTATACAAAAGGTATTGAAAGTAATTTTATTAAGGGCTATGTGGAGAAGATCCCTGAAATACAATTGCAAACTAGTTATCGCCTCCGGTGGTACTTACCTCACCACGCAGTTTTAAACGGGAAAAAGCTAGAAAAACTGAGAGTGGTCCTTGACTGTGCCTCCAAGTTTGCGGGTGTTTCTCCAAATGATATGATTTATCAAGGACCCGTCACAACTGCTGAGTTGGTGTGTATATTATTGCGTTTTCGTAAAGAAAAAGTCGCAATGTCTGCGGATGTTGAAGAAATGTTCATGCAAGTGAAGGTCCCTGAGTCTGATCGAGGAGCTTTAAGATTTCTGTGGTGGCAGGAGGGAGACATTTCGAGGGAACCATCTGAGTTTCAAATGACACCTCATCCATTTTGTGCCACATCATCGCCGTTTCGTGCGAACCTTGCCTTGAATAAGACGGCGCAAATATTCTCTGATGGTTATGATGGTTATGTCGTAGATGCTGTTAAGAATAATTTCTATGTTGATGATTGCTTGATATCCTTTCCCCCTTGTGATCAAGCAAAGAGTTTCGTTAAGCATATAAGTGAATTATTATTTACAGGAGTTTTCAAACTAAAGAAATGGGTTACCAACTCGGAGGAGGTATGGACCATCTTGCCTGATGTATGTAAAGAACAGTCCTTGATAGAAAAATCAACGAAATACGGCACTACTCATCGAACCCTAGGTGAAGAATGGGATTTTAAACAAGATGTATTTAAGTTTCACTTTGATGCACCGGAAAGGCCTCTGACTAGGAGAGGTATTTTATCTATAGTTTCTTCTCTGTTCGATCCTCTGGGTCTAATTGCTCCAGTCTGTCTTACTGCCAAACTTCTCTTGCAAAAATTATGTAGGTCCCAAATAGGCTGGGATCAGCCTCTCAACCAGCCATACCTGTCCGCGTGGCTAGGCTGGGTAATTTTTATGCGTCAGATAGGTCACGTCACGGTAGCTCGAGGTATCAAGAAGAGAATCGACGAACCCGACGCGAAAGTGGAATTGCACTTGTTCAGTGATGTTTCAGAGGTTGGTTATTGAGCAGTTGCGTACGCACGAGTCGGTTATTTGAAGGAAGCACCATACTGTATCTTGTTGTGCAGCAAGTCTAGGGTAGCACCTATCAGACAAGTCACTATACCGAGACTTGAGATGGCGGCAGCGATTTTACGTGTGAGGCTTAGTGAAGTATTACAGAGAAGCCTGCCTAATTTGTTCTGCAAAGTAAACTTCCATACAGATTCCATGATAGTGTTATACTACATCAAGAATATCGAGAACCGTTATAGCACCTATATAGCCAACCGCCTCGCTGTGGTGCACCTGTATATGAAGGTTGAACAATGGAATTATGTAAAGTCGTCACAGAATCCAGCTGATTGGACATCAAAAGGTATACAAAAAACGACTGATCTTGAATCTTGGTTCAAATGTCCTACCTTACTGCATGGCGAATTTTGTACAACAATCACTGACTGTCTGGAACCTGCTCCTGACGATATTGAGTTTAGAAAAACTGCTGTGGTTAACTTGAGTAGTATAAAGTACAACATGTTACCTATTCTCTTTTATTATTCCGAGTGGTTGGAATTAGTCAGAGCTGTAACCTGGTTTAGAAGGTTCATAGAATTCCTGATGGTACTTTGCTGAGCGAGTTGTGAAGGATCTGTTCATCTAGGATGTTTAAGGTCAAAGAGCTTGGCTTTGCCAAGCGTAAAATTTTATTGATGGTTCAGAGAGAAGTGTATGGACAAATACTTAGTGGATTTAAAAACAATGTTAAAGTAGTTAGTCACAATGATCTGAAGGGCTAATCACCGATAATGCTTGATGGGTTACTCTGCGTTGGAGGTCGACTAGGCTACTCAGATTTCTCAAATGCCTTTAAACATCCAATAATATTGTTCAGTCGACACTTAGTGACAGAAATGATAATTAGACATTATCATAAGGAACAAGGGCACACAGGAACGTCACAGATACTGGACACGATTCGAAAAAGGTATTATATAATAAAAGGAACCAGCACGGTTCAGAAAGTGATAGGAAAGTGTGTGACATGGCGGCGGTATACGATGAATACAGGACAACAATTGATGGCACCACTTCCAGCTTGTAGAGTTCAACAAGGATGGTATAGCTTCTCAGCCGTGGGAGTAGACTACTTTGAACCTCTTTTTGTCAAAAGAGGAAGATCAATAGAAAAAGATATGGATGTGTATTTACTTGTTTGCAAACCCGAGCAGTACATATTGAAATGACACATAGTTTGAATACTGATTCGCTTATAATGGCCTTGTTACGTTTTATTGGAAGAAGAGGGAAACTTGTAGAAATTTACAGTGACAATTGGTCAAATTTCGTGGGTGCAGTCTGGGAATTAAAGAAATTTGTGCAACAGTTGAATCAACAGAAAATAGACAAAGAACTGTCA